AACGCGTCGATACGCCGCGATACGTATTACGGAAAAAAAAAATTCCGGTGCCGGCAGTCGGAATTACTTTAATCCCCCTTCTTTCTTTAATTCTTCCGAAAAAAGTTCAATAGATTGACATGGAATAAAAGTCTTGGCATGCTCAGAAATCCTGCCAGACCGGTATAGAATAGTCTCACGTGATTGGATGACTAATCACCACCACAACTACTGGAATTTACCTTGGGTCACCGTAGGTGACAATCAAATATAAGTAATTTGTAAAAGGGTCTAAGGTCTTTCCGGTAAAAAAGAAGTCTTTAAAAGGTTTCTTTCTTATAAAAAATTATTAAATAAATTATTTCTTACGTTAATTACCTTTATATATATTTAGTTTTTATTATTATTCATTTTATAATTTACTTAAATATATAAAGATTTTTATAATCGACTCTCCAGTAATTAGCCCGTTGGTGACATTACAAAGAACTTGGTCCTTTGCCCTGGTAAGATTAAAAGGAATCACGTGCACTAGCTAACTAATAGGCTTACTTGTCAAGTTGGAGGTCCTTTGACTGCTAACATGCTAAGCAAAGCATGCTAAGTGGCCCGTGAACCATGGTTCACGGGTGAGCTTCCTTAACTACTTCTACTAGCTAGCTAAGGTCGATATGGATATACCGACACTTTTATTCTTTTTAACTTTTAAGCTAAGCATAAATACGATTTATTAATCTTTATCGCGTCTTACGCCTTTCGCATTCGCTTAGCTACTTAAAGGACTTATTAAAATCAAGTGCATTAAGTGTAGCAGCTTCCGCTTATTGCTATACTTCTTTATCTTAAATACTAATCTACGATTTACTACTTGCTTAAATTGCTGTTACTAACGACGCTACGAGCTAACTAAAGAGTACTTTATTCGAGATATAGCTCGGAAGTGTTTGGTTAGCAATTTAATAAATGTGATAGTATCGGAATATATAGCGAAATTAGCGGACGAACTTTGTTAAAGCTGTTTAAGTTTATTTTTATAAAGAGAGTTAAATAACTTATACACTTGTTATCATTGTCGTAATAAGCGGACTTTTTAGCGCTTACGTGTTTTAGATAAGCGTATAAAAAGGGCTATTTAAAGCTTAAAAGCTTACGCAAAGATCGAGCTTAAAGCTTATCGATTGATAGTTATAAAAAAGTATAAGCTTAACGAATTATAAGATGTATATTAATAGTTTATTATTAAAGGTGATTATATAGCTATTAGCAATTGATTAAAGGTAAATAATATATTTAGATTGTAATTTTAATTGCGCCGAATCAATTGTAACTTTTATAACTTTTATAACTTTTATAACTTTTATATCTTTTATAACTTTTATAACTTAATAGTTTTGTATGATTATGTATGCTAAGCCGATAAATTTAGCAAGAGCGAAAATTTACTTATATTATAAAAGTTATATAAGTTATAAAAGTTATAAGAGTTATAAGAGTTATAAGTTACTTTATAAAATATAGTATAGATATACTACTATACCGACGGATACAGCAAGTGTAAGAATTTGGTTAAGCATAAACTTTTTTGAAAAGTGAATTCGTTTATTACTTTTAAATATTTATTATAACTTAAATATTCTTCTTAACTTTAATATTAATATTAATATCAACTTCAACTTTAACTTTAATTTTAACTTTAATTGCAATTATAATTACGATTACAATTATATTAGCAATATGATCTTACTCCGCTAACGCAACTTTCGAAACGGACTTTATATAAAGCGAGTAAGTCGACCGGATCCGGCCTATAAGCGGCAAATACAATTACTTCGCAAGCAGTAGTGGCTGCTTTTATACTCTTTCTTCCTTTTTTAATAAGCTTTGCTTTTTGCTTTGCTTATTGCTTTAGTTAAGCTCGCGGTGTAAGTAATAAGTAATACATTTTAATTATTTACGTTAATATTATATATAGATTCAATCAAAACGACGACGATGATAATAAGATTAAGCTAATGATCTTTCGCTCTTTTTCTTCTTCTTCTTCTTCTTTTCATACCGTTCTTGCTACTGCTTTGCTTCTTTCTTTCTTTTTCTTTTTGCTATAGACTTAATAATAAAAGAAGTTAAAAAAAAAGTAAAAAAAGATAAAGTGATAAAAGATTTTAAGCTTGTAATATAAATTATCTTAAGATCAAGTGATATATTTAAGCTACTTACGCTAATAATATATATATATATATATAGATTCGAAAACGACGACGATATAAATGAGTTAATAATCTCTCGCTCTTGTTTCTTTTTTTATTTTCGTTTTTTTTGCTTTATCGATTCTTATTAACGCTTTGGCTTTTATATTCTTCGCCGCCGCCGTGCCTTCTTTTGCTACGCTATTTGCTACCTTTCGCTTTACAAGCTTTAGACCGATCTTACTTTTATAATAAAGTATAAGCGTAAGTATATTTTCATATCTTTTATTAATGCTTATTAATTAAATTAATAAATGTTTACGTTTTCGCCGGCCGTTAATAAAAAGACCTTTTTTATTAAAGCATAACTTAAATAAGCTGTAGTGCTTGCTGGCACTAAGATCAGGAGGAGATTTTGTAGATTGAATGAAGCTTGGTATATTTTATCTAAGAAGCTCGTTAGGATCTATGTACATGTACTTAAGAGCTTTAGTGTGCTAAAAGCGCTATTTAGCGAGGTCATATAACATGTTACATATAGCTTAAATGGAACTATACATATTTTGCACAACATACTCTTTAAGTCAGCAAAGTAGCTATTAAGCTGCAAGCAAATAGAAAAGAAAAAAAATAAGTG